GGTGAGGTAGCGTACCTGTATGATCAGGTGTGTATTTACCTGTTCGGTGAGGTAGCGTACCTGTATGATCAGGTGTGTATTTACCTGTTCGGTGAGGTATCGTACCTGTATGATCAGGTGTGTATTTACCTGTTTGGTGAGGTATCGTACCTGTACGATCAGGTGTGTATTTACCTGTTCGGTGAGGTATCGTACCTGTACGATCAGGTGTGTATTTACCTGTTCGGTGAGGTATCGTACGAGCACGCTCATCGCATCGAAGGCAGCTGTAGAGTGTGTCAGCTGGCTTCTCATGACGCCCAGCTCTCCAGTCTTCGCTTCACACTCCACACTCAGCCGCGCTACCTCCTGCTGGGCCGCCGTCAGCCGTGACTGCGCGCCTGGAAGCACGTCCGGCGGGCCACTGCGCGTCAACCCACATCTCTGCAGCTTGCTGTTGCTGTCTGAAACACATGACAAGGGGGCGTCACAGTCAGATACGCGGGCCAGCCTGGAACAACGATACCATGTTTGATTGCCATGACTACGAGGTAGCGCCGATGCTTTTCCTCGAGTTATTGAGAGGGTATAGAATCTGTTAGGCTCTATTCCCCTACTCCTCTATTCGTCCTACTCGGAGGAACGCTCGTAAGCAAACAATGCATAAGTTACATCCGATTCTCATTTTAGGAAGTCGTAACAGATTTTACAAACGACTCGTCTGCCCTAAACTTCTGAAGGTTTTGATGAAGACGACCGCTGTGCCACGGTGTAAGTGGCTAACGCTGTAAACATCTATAGCACGTTGTAAGAAGAACGAAACAGGCGCGTCACAATAACTACAACACAGTAACAGATGTAATGTTGGGGACATTACACATACCGTGTGACATGACACCGTGACACATGACCGTCGGCTGGGTAACACATAATACTGCCGATTGCATCACATTCGTACAAGAAGACACATACAAGCACGGCTACATCAACAGACAGACAGAAACACAGGCACGCAGGCCCGATCCCGCGTGCAGGGAGGCAGGCCATACATATACTACACTTCACGACTTGTTTTTATGCTCTCGGATGACTGTCGACGGGTTGACACGTTTCCAGCACGTGTTTACCATTAGGTAACGCTGTGCGAGATCGAATGATGAGCCTCGAGCGATGTCCTGTGCCCTCAGCAACACGCTTCACGTACGGACGGATGCTGCAGGGAAAAGGAGAGAAACAGGGATGGCTGGGATGGATGCTGCAGGGAGGAGGAGGAGGAGAGAAACAGGGATGGCTGGGATGGATGCTGCAGGGA